GACTTGCATGGGAGGATGAGTGATCTTTATTTCCATGAAATTAAACCTCTGGGTGTCCAATGTTGCATTTCCCTCCATCCTGCCATGGAAAAAGTCCAATCTTATCTTCAGCAGGGCAAGAATTATGGCCACTGCCTAGAGTCTCTGCTCTGTATTAAAGCACTGTCCAGTCCAGCATCCTGTATGTGGAGTCTGCATGGCCCATCTTCTAAGGCCATATAGCTATGGAAAGAGAACAGGTGAGCATTTGGGTCACAGCAAGAGAGTAAGATCAGAGCAAGAGAGAGGTAACTCCTTGGGGATTATGTATTCCCAGATTTTCATGGGCTTGTATTGGAGTCCATCCTCATTACCTCTAGCAATGATTTATTTCCCAGGTTAGACTGATAAGCAAGCATTTTCCCTAGGTCACCATCACCCAGACTTCACTGTGCCTGCATCCATCTCTCCCTTTAACCCCCTGGTCTGCAGGGAATGAACTGGTGTTCCCTGGGGAGTGTGAAGTTGTAGTTTCCAGATGACCATGCTGACAATGTTTGGCTTCCCCTTTGTTCTCTTCCTATTTTAAAATTAGCTAGCTAATTAGGATGATAACAGGGTCCCAGTCAGTTTCGCTGGTATTCAGAAAAAAATGGTTGCGGTTCAGAAAGATTTGTACTTTGTTGTTATTGTATTGAATTCATTGAGTTTTTAAATATTCTGTATTTTATGATTTTTTGACTTCTTGGGGCCTTGTTGGCCATCCTGGGTAAGGCTGGCCAGCCCCTCCCAGGGTTAGTTAATTCCTAGAGATAGTAAACAACTTGTCCTCTAGCATTCTTTCATACCTAAACCAAGCAATTCAAAGCTATGCACCCAACATCTTCTTTATCTAACTCTCACATATCAAAGCAATATTTCCTCTATCCTAAATTATGCCAGGGCTAGATACTTGACAACCCACCCCAATAGCCCAGAGTACATCAAAAGAATTTAAGCTATTCAACTTTAAATTTGCTCAAACTTGCCTACCCTGCCTTGCAGTGTTCTTTGTGCAGAAAGCACAGTAAATGCTCTGGGCTATGCTTTCACCTGTATTCCTTCTGCCAACTATCAAATTCTGGTAGCCATGCATTGTGTGGCATGCCCCTTTCTCTTGGGAAATTTAAGTAATACACTATTCTTGCAAAGGTAGTTGTCTCCATATCGGTCACTTTACCACACATGATTAAAACAAATCCTGAGTATATTTTAATATATGTATCAATTCATTGTTCTCCAGAAATGGTATCTGTTTTATATAAGAAGGTCGGAATGAAAGAGTGGCTATTTGAACTCTTTCGACTGCTACCCTTTGCAATTGCCCTGGGACTGGACTGCCTTGGCTATATATTTACAATGAAAATAGGAGCAATTAATTAAAAAATGAGAGCTTCTTTAACTCTAGCATTGGAAATATGTCTTGAAAAATGCATGCTGCATATGGTATTATAAGTTCTCCACATTTTGGGGTCGAACACTTACCTCATATTACTTTTAATAGTTTAAATTTGAAGAAATATCTAGCACACATTAAAGCAATAAATTTCAGGGCTATTTGTCCTTGCCAAGAATGTAGATTCTTTCAATTAGAGGCTCTACTATTATTAAAATTTAACAAGCACAATTGATTGCTTGTTAAATTGGGCAAATTTATATAACATCCTTGAAATTTGCCTTTTTATATTTTTCCAATCTATAATGAGTCAATAAAAGTTGATTTTACCAAGCAATAACATTTTTCAAGATGTAGAAGTTAAAATCATATAAATTGCATTTATTAATGAAAAAAACTAATTTGCAGGGCTAGATACTATATGATTCCAACTATATGACATTCTGAGGAAGATAAAACTATGGAGTCAGTAAAAAGATCAGTGGTTTTCAGGAGTGGTGGGAGAGAAGGCTGAATGAAACACATAGGAGTTTTAGAGAAGTTAAAATATTCTGTGTGGTAATGTAATGGTGGACTCATATTATTATATATTTGTCTAAACCCATGGGATGTACAGTAGCATCAAGACTGAACCCTAATGTAAAGTGTGGACTTTGGGTGATAATGATGTGTCAATGTAGGTTCACCAATTGTAGCAAATGTTCCACTCTGGTGGGGGATGTTGATAATAAGTGCTCTGTGTTGGGAGAACAGGGAGTAGTATATGGGAAATCTCTGTACCTTCCCCTCAATTTTGATGTGAACCTAAAGCTGACTTTTATTTAAAAAAAAGTCTTTGAAAGATCATACAGATAATCTTCTATAGCTATTTGGCTTAAGACTAAGTATTTAATTCAACAAAGAAAAAATTGGATAATCTGAGTTCTGGCTAGGTAGCAAAACAGACGACTCTCAAGACCTCACCAGCAGTTTATGGACGTCACTTCTAGGTACCTGCTGCTTCATGTGTGGTCTGAGGACTAGCAGCAGCCATAACACTTGGGAGCTAGGTAGGAATGCAGAATCTTTGGACCCACTGCATCTGAATCTGTATTTTAACAGGATCTTCTGGTGATCTGTATGCACATTAAAATTTGAGCCCAGCTGGCGTGGCTCAGTGGTTGAGCATCGATCTATGCAGTAGGAGGCCATGGTTCGATTCCCGATCAGGATACATGCCTAGGTTGCTGGCTTGATCCCCTGTATGGGGTGTGCAGGAGGCAGCCAATTGATGATTCTCTGTCATCATTGATGTTTCCATCTCTTTCTCCCTCTGCCTTCCTCTCTGAAATCAATAAAAATATATTCTTTAAAAAAATTGAGAAGTATTTCCCTAAATAATAGCCTTTAACAGGATTCAATTAACACATTTTTTTTAGATTCTGCTTTTTAGTTGAATTCCCTGGAGAATACGTATAACATACCCAACATGAGTTCTATGTCCTCCCCCATTTTTTACTTCCCCACAAGACACAATGAGAAATATATGAAATGTCTAGAATCATGTTTTAGGCTTGTTCCTGGCAAAAGAGCAATTTATATCCACCAAAGATATTTGGATTAATTGTTCATTATGTAATTTTTAAAAATGGTTTGCTTTGCTTATAACTCTTACGTTGATGTACAGAGACAACTGGAATTGGGACTGGCTGGAGTCTTGAGGAAAGAGTCAGAAACAAAAGTGAATTTATTGCAATTTAGAGCATACATATTGCTATGCATAGTCTTGCCTATGTCTTAATGGTTTTTGGACAATCATATAAATTAATTAATTTTAAACTATTTTCATTAAGTGTTAAATACAACTATATTTTGATACTCAGTTGTGCTTTTGGCACTCAGAATTATAGGTGTGAAAGTGTTTTCAGACTCAGACTATTTTGAGATCATTGTGAGTGAAGCTTAGGTTCTTAAAAATGAAAGAATATTATTTGGCAGTCAGTAGGGTAGAGGGACAGGACGAGGATTTGAATAATATTTCTTCAGAAGATTCAGGAGAAGGTTGGAGTAAAACCATCACCAAAAGCAAAATTCAGAGTAGTGCAGAATTTTCTTAACTTCTGTAGCGGACAAAAATATATTAATGCTGTAGTTTAGATTCCAGGGATGGCAATCTATACCATCTCATCCACCCTCCCATTTTATCTAATTGTAGGTGGTTTTCTGGAGAGGGGATCCTGAGAAACTTTGAGAAATAGTTATACTTTATTGACTGTTTTAAGACAAGTAGTTTTCCATTTTCAAGAAATATATTTGCTATGTATTCAAAAAGCTATAAGCCATATTGTTAGATAGGACAAGGGTCTTAGGGTCTGGGCCATTCTTACTAAATGTTATTCTTGCTAAATATTAAAATGTAGCACAATATTTTGCAGACTACATTTAAATTTAAATAGGATAAGCTTGACAGAAAGTCAACTTGATAAGTTTGGCCAACTGCAAAAGAAGAAATCAATATCAAATTGACCAAACTGTGTATAAGAAATGGCTAAGTCTCCCTTCAGAGACAGAGCTTTTGATATGAATCCCCTGACTCCTTTATTTGATGCAAGTAAATAAAACTACCTTGTGACAACCTCATCTTGTTTTTGAAAAGAGCACTCCAAATTGCAAACCCCTTGATTTGGTAACCATATTGATATTATTTTATAGAAATAATATAAATGAGTAACTTTTTCATTCTTTTTGTAGATCTTACCTTCATCTGGTATCTTTTTTCTTTTGCCCAAAGGATTTTTCTTGAAATTTCTTGTATGGGTCTGCTGTGGATGTAATCTTTCAGCTTTTGCATGTCTAAAAAAGTGTTTCACCTTCATTTATGAAAAAAATTATTCTGGTAATGAATCCTAAGTTGACAGTTTCATTTTTTTCTTTTAGTTCTTTAAAAATATTGCTCCAATGGATTTGCTTTCATCATTAGCTTTTTTCCCTTTTCATATTATGTGGGTGTTTTTTTTTTAATATATTCATTTTATCACTGTGTTAAGCCATTTGTTTAAACTGTGCCTTTGTGTAACTTTCTTCAACTTTCTTGTACTTGGGAGAGTTGAATATCTTGGTTATGTGGGTTTCTATTTTTCAGAAATTTTGGTCATTATTTATTCAAATAGTTTCCCTTTGCTTGCCTCCCTTTGGGTTTCAAATTACCATATATTTGGCAACTTAAATTTGTCTTAGCAAACAAAGCCTCTGCTTGTGTATTTTTTCTCTCTGTTTCAGTTTGGAGAGTGTTAATTGCTGTCTTGGAGCTTACTAACGTTTACTTGTTCAGGATCTACTCATTATTTCATGCCGTGTATTTTAATCTCAGACATTGTTATTTTTCATATCCTAAATATTTATTTAGACCTTTTAGTATCTTCCATGTCTATCTTTAATATGTCAAATCTAGCTTCTTGAAAATATAACAACTTTTAATCTTTTGATTACTAATTTTATTTATGTCATTTCTGGGTAAACCTTTGGTTGACTAATTTCTCTCATTCTGGGTAGAAATTTCCTGCTTCTTTACATACTTAGTTACTTTTTTTCTGAGACTTTTAATTGCTTTTATTACTCAAAAAAGCTTCACTTTTTAAATTTATTTAGCTTTCTGACTCTGTGCTTGTGCCTTCAATACTTTCACAATGATTTTCTGCTCCTCAATAAGGAAAGCACGCTTGATCCTGTCATGGACACATTTAGAACACGTGGATCCACCATAGGCCCTGCTGACCTGCTTTTTCTCTTTAGACAACCTCATTAGAACTTTAGGTCTCACAGTATGACCTCTGCGAGGTTGGCCTGGGCAAACACCACATGCAGATTTTGGTTCTTTCCCAACCTTCTTGGTATAAAGGTAAACAATTCTATTACCAGGGATTTGGGACAGCCTGGTTTTTTTAGAGGCTGTAGCGTAGGACAGCCTCCAAAGGCATGTCAAACACTGGACCATGGTACATACCTGAAGTCACCATCCGCGGAAGAGCCATACTTAGTTACTTTTGACTGATGCCTGACATTGTACATTTGCCTTGTTGAGTGCTGAATATTTTTATAATTTTAACATTTTTGGACTTTGTTGCGGGAGATGGTTAAGTTACTGCAAAACGGTTGGATCCTTTTGTGTTTCATTTTTATATCTGTTAAGTAGGACCTGAGCAGCAGTTAGTCTAAGATTAATCTTACGTACTAGTGAGGTAATGCCCTTTTAGTAGTCTAACTGATGCCTGTCAATTATGTGGTTTTCCAATCTGGCCTATGTGATCTTTGGCCACTATTTAATTCTGTCATGGGTTCTTTCCCAGGCTTTGGGTAGTATTTTCACACATGTGCTAATAAGTTCTCAACTAGATACTTCAGGGAGACCTTCTGTATATGCAGCAATCTTTTCTCCAGTGTGGTGCCCTGCAAACTCTAGCCTACTTACCTTCCCTGGTCCTCCAGATCAATCTCTTTAACACAGGAAGAGCATGTGGCTCTTTTTCTTGTACTGCAGACTGGAAGCTTTATCCAGGCAGAAAGCTGTGATCATCATGGGGATTACCTTGTTTGTTTCCCAATTCTCAGAGATTGCTGCCTTCTGTTGTTGTCTGACACCTAATATCTTGAGAGCTGTTATTTTATATATTTTGTCTTTTTTTTTGTCTGTTTCAGCTAGGAGGGTAAATCTGGTCCCTGTTAATGTATTTTGGACCAAAGAAGAAATTCTTGGGCTATTTTAAACCAGTATTCTTTTATCCTTGTCACTCTTACACAAGCAGAAACCCTGCATTTTATATTCCTGGTTCTGAGAAACCACTGAGTTGATATTTCATTAAAGGGCTGTTTTTATTGAAGGTAAATAGCATCTTGGCTAGCCATAGACCCTTCGACAGATCATAGATTTTTTTTCACCGTTTTCCTCTACCCCAAATATATTAATGCTTCTCCCTTTACATCCTTTAATCCTGAACATGTTAAGATACTTTCTAAGAGATGACACATCTTTTTCATTGAATATCTTTCTCTGTCATTCTCTAGTTGTCTTATGTATACATACATCTACTTCTAACTTGGCTTAAAGAGACTCCAGTATCCTAATTCACTATGAGAAAAATGATAAGGTAAGGGATTGCATTAGAGCTAACAGTTACTAATTTTCCTTCTTTTCAGAAATACCTTCTAACACCAAATAAACACACAAATGAATAAATAAGTAAATATCCAGCTAATTAGGTAGTAGATATAGCTCAGTCATTGAAGTTTTCCAGCATATTCAGCACAAAGTTAAGCTATAAAACCAAATGTGTCATGCAGTTTGACATTTTCATACCTTTTCTTTCATTGTTTTTATTTAAACCTTTGGTCACAGCCTACTGCATACTCATATTCTTTCTCTCTGGTATCAAAGCCACCTTTAGCATATTAATTACTGATATTTTGGGGCAGAATTTTCCATACTCTATCAAATCTGTTTACTTTAAACCCAAATTGCCAAAGTAACCATAAGTTAATGATTATGGAAGCTGTATTGGTAAACTTAATTATAAAAAAAGTGCCGTACAAGCCCTTTTGGAAAAAGAAAAAGATTAATATAAAATAAAAAGCACTGATGAAAGTTCTTCAGCTGTCCCGGAGTATGGTCATTGGAGTTCAAACAGTCCTAAGGTTAAAGTCAAAGGGCTCAGAAGGTACTATTATTTTATTAAACTGAAAAAATTAAGCAACTGGATTCTTACCTTTTTTTTTTTCTAGGTACCTTTTTCCCAAATTACAGTTAAGATGCCCCAATCCTTTCTAACAGTGAGAAATAGTCAGACATAGGATATTCCTCAAAACAATTTTCAGGAAAATATCCTATATAATAAAAGGCTAATATGCAAATTGCCAGGCCTAGGGACCCAACCCATGCAATAATTTTGTGCACCGAGCCTCTAGTGTAATATAAAATTAACATACCAATGTTGTGCATATTTTGTTAAACTTATTTCAACTGTTTAGAGAGATAACTTTAGAAAACATTTTTTTCTTTTTTCTAGATAGAAGCAATGAAAGACATATGATATTTAGTCAGATAAGTATATTATATTGTGGGTAATAATACTACCTAAGGTGTGCTTTTTTAAATTATATTTTTATATGTGTGCACTGTTAAAGAACTACTAAATATTTTTTATAAAATAAAGAATTATTTAGGTCATGGAACTATTCAGAATATGTAACAATATAAAGGATTATTTATTAAACTGATAAGAACAGATACTACACTTGATCTTAGCCAAAAGGCCGAGAAGCGATAATAAAGGATTATTTATATTATTACTGAATATACTCTAGAAAACATGAATTCATTAGATAGATTTTATTCATATAATTTTAAAACATTTTTATTGGCTTCCTAGGTTATGTAACCATATATCAGAAATATATGGACTACTAGATAAGACATCGACAATCTTAAAGTTAAAATGTAAATACATTATTTTTCCAAATAACATCTTTTCTGAAAATTGAACCTGTTTTGATAGCCAGCTTACCCTCATTGAACACATTAAATTATTAAATAAAAAATAATTTAGAACTGTTCAAATATCAGACATTCTCAAGGGTAAAATGTGTGCATGCATGCATACACAGATGAATGAATATTGGAGAGCACAGCTGTGGACAAAACTGTACCAGATTGTTAGATACTACATCAGTCCAAACAAATTTGCCAACTTGTAAAGATTATACCTGTTAATTAATAAAGTGAAAGATCTCACATGAAACCTATAGAAAAATTTATTTTAAAATGATCACTTGGAAAAGAGGTATATTTTCTAGAGACTTCTTAATATTAACTTAAATATCTGGCAAATAGCAACTGGGATGCATTTTGTAATCACATCCTCTTGTTTTCCATTTGATTGCATACAAAACCCCATTTGATTATGTACCTGGCCATAGTTACAATTGCATTTCCTGCCTCTCAACATACTTCCTACTCTGATACAGCCGTATAGGCTCCTTTGCCTCAGTGTCTTTATAAGCTCACTTCCCTCAACTTGCAGCTCTTCCCCCAAATATTCAAATAGCTGCTTCCTTTGGCTTCATTTGGCTCTCTGCTCAAATGTCTATGCCTTCTCTATCTTATTTCATTAGTACCTTTCACCACTCCCAGTTATTCTTGAGCCCTAACTTTATTTTGTCTTCAGAGCATTTACCATGTAACATGTCTCATGCTCATTTGTTTATTCATTTATTAATTATTGCCTCTCACTGGAATGTGAACTTCAGTAGATCAGGGATTTGTTCTATTCACTGCTGAAACCTCAACTTCTAGTATAGTTCCTGGCTCTTATAAGACAAGTATTCCATTTGTAAAATGCATGCATGCACAGATGAATGAATAAATGTCAAAGCAAGTAACTGCTACCCATTGGATCTTCTATATAAGTTCATAGGATATTCCCTTTGCCGAGATCTGAACTTTCACAATGACACAAATTGGTATGTTTTATCCATTGTGTTGGGTAAGTAACAGGACATTTCAGTCTGGAAACTCATAGTTTGGAGTCTTGGAATATTTACTTTTAATTATGTCATTGATGATTTTGCCAACTCTGTTTTAATTTTCTTTTCTTTATAGAGCTTAGTTGTTTAAGGTTGGATCTCTAGTAGGTACTATGCATTTTTTTTTCACTTGTCTCCTAATTTTAAGGACTGTATTACTACTCTGCTTTGTGGGAGCTACTTTATCTCCCCATTTTTTCTATTTATTTATTTTCATTAAATGTATTGGGGTGACATTGGTCAATAAAGTCACAAAGGTTTCAAGTGTACATTTACATGACACATGATCTGTATAGTGCACTGCAATTTTTAAAATTGATTTGCCGGGGTCCAGCCCCAGCGGGTCCAGGGGTCCCCAAAGGTGTGGACGGAGTCGGCGAAGAAGGAAGGACACGGAGACAGTGTTCAGTTGATCAGCAGCCTAGCCAGGATCTCTAGCCAGGATCTCCAGCCAAGTTCTGATCTGGATCTCCAGCGAAGTTCTGGTTTGGATCTCCAGCCAGGTTCTGTGTCCATATTGTCTTGCTAGGTTCTCCAGCCAGGTTCTGTCCAGGTTCTCCGTCCAAGTTCTCCAGCCAGGTTCAGTCACCAGGTTCTAGTCAGGTTCTTTTGCCAATTTCTGTAGTCAGGTTCAGTCCAGGATCTTTTGCCATGTTCTCTCGCTAGGTTCTGTCTCTAGGTTCTGAGGCCAGTTTCTGTCCAGGATCTTTTGCCATGTTCTCTCCAGCGAAGTTCTTCTGTCTCTAGAGAACGTTCTATGTAGGTTCTGTGCCTAGGTTCTGTCTCTCTTGGTTCTGTCTTCTTACATCTGTATTTATACCAGTTGATTCCAATTCTATCAATCTCTATTTCAAAGGTTAGGGCGTTTCTTATCTCCATTCCAGGGAGTAAAGATTATGTAGCTTAAGCATGATTGTTTGTAGTTAAAGTGATTAATTACCCACCTGGCACTTAGTTAAGAGGTTTTATTCCCTCCCTAACTTCAGGGGAAAATCCCTACCTGGGGAAACAACCTTTCTCAGAGACCTTGGTTAAAACACATAGTGCCAAGAAGGTGAGCAAACATATTAAGAACAGTATGCCATATATGCCAGGTCCCTTGAAACAGCAAGCATGGACCGGCTCCCGGCATTGATTCATTATGTCAGTTTCTGTTTACAGTTTTTATTAACTTCCAGGAGCTTTTTATATTCTTTGACTTTTTAAAAATATTTGTTTGATTATTTTTTTCTTGAACAAAAGTATCTTTTCTAGTTACTGCCTAAGGATATTAATGTTAACAATAAGGTTTTATTTTTCCTGGAAAAAAATGTTTCCTTTAAGTACATTTGACAGATTTTTGTTTGTCTTGGCTTCTATAGTCAATGCTATAGGCTTTCCGTCTATGCTGGGTTTTCCTGGATTGACTGCTCAGGTAGT